GCTCCCAAACCGGGTGGTGACCACACCGTGTGGTGAGTCGGTGGGGATTCGGGGTCACCGCACGGTTTTGGGACTTGGGTCGTTCTCCGAGGATGTCCCAGGGTCCCAAAACCTTGTGGTGACGGACCGTGCGGTGAGGTCTTTGCGGATTTCGAGGTCACCGCCGGGTCTGTCACCACACGGTTTTGGGACACCCAATTCTCCAGCTGTGGACCGGCGCCGCGCCCAGCGGGGGCAGCGGGAAGGAGAGAATGCCTCCTCAGATGGCTCGGAAGTCCCCCGGCCCTCCGAGACGCTGGCGACGCCTCCCCCGAGGACAGAGCGCCTCTCACGGGGCAGGAGCGCTTCTGAGGAGCCCCACGGACTTCAGGAGGAGAAGAAACACACAGACACAATTTATCGTTGATTTCCCAGAAAATATGGGAAAATATGGGATGTGGGGGGGAAGACAGAAACCTAGAAAATATGGGAAAACATGGGGAATATTTTTATTTGTGTGTATTTTTTGTGTGTCCTGGGGCCCCTTCAAGACTGCCGAGAAGGCCTTCTCCCTTCCACTTCCCCGCCGCGCTCGTCGCCGAGGGGAGCCGCCCGAGCCGGGCTGGACCCGGGGGGGGACGTGCTGCATCCAGATGGGCCCGCTGGCTGAGGTACTCTCGTGCGGTGGTCGAGGCAGTGTGGCCGATCGGTCGGCCGGGCTCCTCGGACGGGCGCGGGATCCATCCTTAACCCCTCTGTACAGTGCAGTCGACACTGATAGTAAGGATGAGCCTTGCGTCCTTGCCCCCTCGGCCCATCCGTAACCACTGTCTGTACGGTGCAGTCGACACCGATAGTAAGGATGAGCGACTTCCCAAGGGTACCCTTTCATCCTTGCCTTCTTGGCTCATCCTTAACCGCTATCGATGGCCAGCCCCGCTCGAAAAGCTTCAAAAGAGGTGTCCAAGGCCCTTGCATCCTTATCGCGCACCCTTGCTATCAGAAACATGAACTTTCGGAGCTCCGCGCCGAGCTCCGACAGTTGTGTGTGTGTGTGTGTGTGTGTGTGTGTGTGTGTGCTTGTGTGTTTGTGTGTGTGTGTGTGTGTGCGTGTGTGTGTGTGTGTGTGTTATGCAGTCTTTCCCTCCTCTCAAGTCGGCGACGGGTCAAGCATTACAGAAGCAATCCAGGTGTCAAGGTCCCACTCGACACCCGACTCGGTGAATAGATAGAAAAGTATTGCGAAGGCCTTACGGCCAGTGCCGCCGACCCTGAATACGACGAAGATGAAAGGGGGGGGGGGGCTGCAGGGGGAGGAGGAGTGGCAGGAGGAGGAGGAAGGGGTGCAGGAGGTGGACGAGGGAGGAGGAGGGGGGCAGCAGGAGTAGGAAGAGGAGGAGGAGGAGGAGGGGAGGAGCCTCTTGGAGCCTTGGTGGGGTGTTCTTGGAGATCTCCTGGGACGTATAGGAGGCTTCTTGGATCGTCTTGGGGCCATCTTGGCCGTGCTGGGCCTATCTTTGAGCGACACGGGGCTCTTGTGGGCAATCGTGGGAGCTGTCTTCGGCATTCTGGGTTCTTTTTGGGGCTGTTCGATCTGTCGGGGCCGCCTGGGGGAACACGAATCTGGGTGGCGACCCCCCCCCCCGGGACCCCGCCCCAGGACCCCCCCCCTCCCGCGGGGAAGGGATCAAACGGAAGGGGCTGCCCTTCAACTCCAATACGACGTTGTACAATTTCGCTTTGGATGGCACGCTTGAGGAGGGCCCAGGGAAAGGGACGGGGGACGACGGATACGGCGAGGAGACGATTGACGACGACGAAGACGACGAGGAGACGATGGAGACGACAACTCGAACGGAGAAGCCCCTCGCACACGCCGACAGGGTCGGCGGATTTCCTCGCCCTCTGTCCAGTAGGCGGCGGGTCAAGCATTGCTGAAGCAAGCCGTGCATCGAGGTCAGATTCGACACCCGACTCGGTGAATGTAGACATCGTGGAGCGCATTGGAATCGGACAGGAGGGAGAGTTGGGGTGCCAGATGGGGCGCGAGTGCTCTTCTCCACCCCTCCCCTTACCTCTGGGCCTCCCAGATGGGGTCGGAGTAGATGGGGTCGGAGGATCGCGCCGCATCGCCGATGCATCGCCGATGCGGCTCGACGTTCGGCCCGATTTGCTTCACGTCGACGCCGCCGATGCATCGCCGACGTCGATGCTGCATCGCCGGTGCAAAGCAGATGCATCGGCGATGCGTCGCCGATGCATCGCTGATGTATCGGCGATGCGGCGCGATCCTCCGACCCCATCTACTCCGACCCCATCTAGGAGGCCTCTATTGCCTGTCCTTCCTCCTCCCCCTCCCTTCCCCATCCCGTCCCTTCCCTCCTTCCCCTCTCCCTCCCTTCCTCCCTTCCCTCCCTTTCCCCCTCCCCTCCCTTCCCTCCCTCTCCCCTCCTTCCCCTCCCCTCCCTTTCCCCCCTCCCCCCTTCCTCCTTTCCCCCTCCCTTCCCTCCCCCCTCCCTCCTTCCCTCCCCTCCCTCTCCCTCTCCCCCTTCCCCTCCTTCGCTTCCCTTCCCTCCCTCCTCCCCTCCCTTCCCCCCTCCCCCTTCTCTTCCTTCGCTTCCCCGCGGGCCGCTCGCGAGCGTGCCGTGCTTTCCTGAGCCGGCGGCCCGCGCGGCTGCCGGGGACGCCGGCGGGCCGCAGAACGGGCGCCAAGAAAACAGCCGCCGACGACGACGACGATAACGACGACGACGAGGAGGACACGACGACGACGCCGACGACGGCGACGACCACGACGACGACCACGACGACGACGATGACGACAAGGCGACGGCGACGGCGCGGCGACCACGCCGACGACGGCGACGACAAGACGAGGACGCCGACGACGTCGACGCCAACGACGACGACAAGACGACGACGACAAGACGACGACAAGGCAACGACCATGACCCCGCCGACAACGACGACGATGACGACGACGACGGCGTCGACCACGATGACGGTGACGACGCCGCCGACGACGACAAGACGACGACGACGGCGACAAGACTACGACGAGGACAACGACAAGGCGCCGACGATGGACCGACGACGACAAGACGACGACGACAAGACGAAGACGATGGCGACGACGACGTTGACGACCACGACGGCCACCACAACGACGATGCCGACGACGACGTTAAGACGAGGATGAAGACGACCACGACCACGACAACGACGACGGCGACGACAGCAACAAGACGACGACCACGACGACAAATCGACGACGACGACGCTGACGCCGACGATGACGACCACTACTACGACGGTGACGATGACGACGACGACGGCCATGATGACCACGACGACGACGACAAGACGCCACGGACGACGACGACAAGACGACGACGACCACGACGACGACGAAGACGACAAGGTGACGACGACAATGACCATGACCATGACGACGTCGACGAAGTCAAGACGACGCCGACGACGATGCCGACGACGACGACGACGACGACAAGACGACTACGTCAATACGACGACGATGATCACCATGACCACGACGACGAAGACACCTTGGCTTCGACGACGACCACGCCCACGACGACGACGACAAGACGACGCCGACGCCGACGCCGACGACAAGACGACGACGACGACGACGACAAGACGACTACGTCAATACGACGACGACCACGACGACGATGATCACCACGACCACGACGACGGAGACACCTCGGCTTCGACGACGACCACGCCCACGACGACGACGACAAGAGGACGCCGACGACGCCGACGACGATGACCGTATGACATCGACGACGACGACGACACGTCAATGACCACGATCACGGGGACGACGACCACGACGACAAGGCCACGACGACGACCACGACCACGACCACAACGACGATGCCGACGACGACGCCTACGGCGACGACGCCGTCGACGACAGCGGCGACCACGACGACGACAATACCGACGACGATGACGACCATGACCACGACCACGATGACGATGAGGCGACGACCACGTCGACGATGACGACCACGTCGACGACGACGACCACGACGACGACGGCGACAATGACACGACGACGACGCCGACGACGGTGCTGACGTCGTCGACGAAGATGCCGTCGACGACTACGACGACGACCACAATCACCGCCACCACGATCACGGCGACGATGACGACGGAGACGCTGGGGACGATGACGACGGTGACGACGTCGACGACGACGACGAACACGACTTTCATCCCAATCATGTTAAGCCAGAGTTCTGGCAGATCTCACCTGAGCTGTTTTGGGCAGCTGCTCCTCCGCTATCTGCTATCTGCGAGGGCGCAGCGTAAGGGTCTTTCCTGCTTCCAGGCACGCCGAGCTGAATGCAGCGAGAGCTTTGGTCGCCAGGCCGATCATTGGATCTGAGCTTTATTGAGTGCTGCTCCCTTGCTCCCTGTCCGACCGCCCTCATGGCCCCTCCGCATCCTGACCATGACGTGTCCTCGTACAGTCGGGGCCCTGAAGAAGGAACCCTTTTCGTTGTGGAGGGGCTCCGTGTTCCGTAAGTGTTTCACAGCTTGCCTCAGGCTTTCCTTAGGTTTTCGATACGAAATCGAAGGTTAACTTATGGGAAAAAGGGGCCTCGTTCCTTATTTAGGGTTCCTTAGGTCAAGGCCCCGACTGCATCTACCTCCTTCGCCTCGCGCCCGGCGCCCTCCCGAAACTGTGCGCTGGCACCTTTGGGATCCGAGGGGGGTGGAGCTCCCACACGCGTGTCTGGCCCTGCTGCTTCCCCCTTGTCGGCGCTGGGCCCTTTGCCAGCGCTCTTTCATCCAGGCCCTGTGCCGTGCGGCCGCCGTTCCTTTGCCCTCCTCCTACGCCCGCGTCGCTCCGCGGTCCTCCCCCCGCTCTCTCCTCTTCCCTCCTACCCCCTGAGTCTTCGCTCCTCCCTCCTGCTGCTCCTCCTCGTCGTCCTCCTCCTCCTCCTCCTTCTCCTCCTTCTCTCCTCCTCCTCCTCCTCCTCCTCCTCTTTGCCCCTCTTCTGCCTGAGCCCTTCTGTCCGTCTTTCCCTGCTCCTGCTGCACGGCCTCTGCGCCTCTCTCCGTCTCCTCTCTCCTCCGTGGGGGCGCACCGGGGCTGCGTCTCCGGCGCAGTCGCGACAGAAGTGGTGCCGAGACTGCCACGGGCACGGACTTGCTCGGCCTCGCCGCCGTCTTGGCTCGAGGGCGCCAGGCCAGACCGAATCCTTCCACGCTTTGGCTCGAGGGCGCCAGGCAAGACCGAGTCCTTCCCCGCTTTGGCTCGAGGGTGCCAGGCAAGACCGAATCCTTCCGGGGCAGTGTTGGAGGCTGTGGGGTGAGACCGAACCGGAACGGGGTCGCCCAGTCGGTGCCTCGGCTTCGGTCTCGGGTCGTTTCAGTTCGTGGCGTGCGTGCGAGCGGGGCGAGGCGGTGCGAGGTCCTCAACAGCTAGAGCCAGGTCGTGCCTAAACGAGTCGGTGTCCCGCCTTCGGGGCTGGCACGGGGTCTCCCAGCGGTTGCCTCGTCGCTGCCTCGTGGTTGTCACGGGGCCCGTGGCGTGCCCGCGGTTGCCCCGCTGTCCCGTGGCTGTCCCGTGGCTGTCCCGCACTGAGGGGTTCTTGCATCTGTTGCTGAGGAAACGGGCGGGCCCGGAGAGGTTTCGCCACGCTGCCGCCTCGCTGCCCCCTCGTTGCCGCCTCGTTGCCCACGCAGGGTCGAGGCTTCGCCACGCTGCCGCCCCGTTGCCGCCCATGGCGCGCTGGGTGGGTCTGCCGAGGCTTCGCCACGCTGCCGCCTCGCTGCCGCCTCGTCGCCGCCTCGTGCGCTGGGTGGGTCTGGCGAGGGGTCGCCACGCTGCCGCCTCGTTGCCGCCCTGGTTGTCGTGTCTGAGGACTTGCTTGGGTCTGGAGAGGCTTGGCCGCGTTGCCGCCGCCGCTTCGTTGCCGACTCGCTGCCGCCTCGTGCGCAGGTTGGGTCTGGCGAGGCGTCGCCTCGCTGCCGTTCGTTGGCGCCTCGTTGCCGCCTCGTTGCCGCCTCGTGCGCTGTGTGTGGTGCTGGCGAAGTTTCGCCGCGTTGCCGCCTCGTTGCCGCCTCGTTGCCGCCTCGTGCGCTGGGTCACATTGCTGCCCGTCGCCGCCTCGTTGCCGCCTCGTGAGCTGAGTGGGTCTGGAGAGGTTTCGCCAAGTTGCCGCCCGTGGCCGCTTCGTTGCCGCCTCGTGCGCTGGGTGGGTGGGTGAGGTTAGGTTTTGTTACGCTGCCGCCCGTTGCCTCCTCGTTGCCGCTCTGTTGTCGCTTTGGCCTCTGGGTGGGTCTGGGGAGGTTTCGTCACGTTGCGGCCTCGCGCGCTGGGTGGGTCCAGCGAAGTTTCGCCACGTTGCCGCCCATTGCCGCTTCGTTGCCGCCTCGTGCTCTGGGTTGGTCTGGCGAGGTTTCGCCACATTGCTGCCCGCTGTCGCTTAGTTGCCACCTCGTTCGCTGGATTAGTCCGCCACCTGGTCAGGATAGATTTCGCCACGTTGCCGTCCGTTATCGCCTGGTTGCAGCTGCGTTGCCGCCTCGTGCGCTGGGTGGGTCTGCGGTTCCGCCGCTCTGCCGCCCGTTGCCGCCTTGTTGCCGTGTCGTGCGCTGGGTGGGTCCGCAAGGTTTCGCAACATTGCCGCCCGTTGTCGCTTTGTTGCCGCCTCGTGCGCTGGGTGGGTCTGTCGAGGTGTCGCAACGTTGCCTTTAGTTGGCGCCTCGTTTCCGCCTCGCTACTCTCGTTTGCTGGGTGGGTCTGGCGAGGTTTCGCCACGTCGCCGCCCGTGCCGCCTCGTTGCTGCCTCGTGCGCTGGGTGGGTCCGAAGAGGTGTTGCCACATTGTCGCCCGTTGCCGCTTCGTTGTCGCATCTAGCTTGCACCACGTATTTTCTTGTTTCCAAAAATAGGGGATCTCCCCCTCCCGAAGCTGGACTGCCCCAACCCTGGGGCACTGCACATTACATTTGATTGTGCCTCGTCGTTCGTCTTCCATATGAAGTTATACCATCCCACGGCGACCATCATCGCCCCCCCTTTCATCCCTGCCAAGTGTTTTTTTTTATACGCGCGCATTTGGTTATCTCACAAGGTATGGTTCAAGAGGCCCTGGCATCAAATGGCACAAAGTCCACGCGCGCGCACATGTCGACACCATGCCAAACACAGCAGTTCTGCAAGCGTTTCAACTTAAAAGCAGAGACAGCCTTCTGTTTCTTATCACAAAGTTTGGAGATTTTCTGTCCGCGCGCATTGGCTGAATTCGTAACGGAACCATGTGATTTTAGCAATCTCGTTCAAGGACCGCGTTCTGATTTCACCACTGCATGCATCCGGGTCGATCCAGCGCGCAGCCAGTGCACGACCGTATCAACTCATACCATGCGGGCTACACGTGCGTGCCAGCACGCGCGCGTGTCGAAGTCCTTACACACCACAGGTTTCCGACGCATTTCAAGGCATCATCTCTCAAGCACATGAATCTTTGTAAGGGTTCTTACATGTTTGCGCGCACTTGCTCACCGTTATCCTCTTCAGCGCCGTCGCATCACCACATCGTCATCGTCAATCGCCGCCATTGCCGCCATTATCAGTCAATCACCTTCACGACCGACACATGGACTTCATCATCATCGTCATCATCACTATCATCATTATCATCATCACTATCATCGTCATCATCGTTGTCTCCAGCATCGGTGACATCGTCGTCATCGCCACCACCATCGTTACTGTCGTCATCATCATCATCATCATCATCATCATCATCATCATCATCATCATCATCATCATCATTATTGTCGCCGTTGTCGACGTCATCATGGTACCGCGCCCGCCCGAGTCACCGACCCGCACTGAAGTGCCCGCGCGCCAGCGCGACCTTTAAGATGCGGCGGGAAGTACCCATCGGTAAGCGCCATCGCGGCCGGCTGTGCCAAACCTGCTGGCCGCTCTGCGCGCGAGCTTGCGCGCGCTGGCGCAGCCGCAGAGATGCGCCAGCCATTGCCGAGTAGTCACCGCAGACGCTGCCGTATGGGTTGTGAAAGGCAGGTTGCGGGTGGGAGTATGGCTGATTGCGCGAGCAGTTGAGCTGACGATTTCGGGTTCTGCACGGTGCACTTTCACCACGTAGCGTACTCATCCACAGTGCAGTACTTCATTATTTGGGGTCCATGCTGGCCAACTTGTTGATGGTGGTGTCGGTAGTTAGGTCGATGTCCCGTGTTTGCCCCTTGGTTGTCCCGTGGATGTTCTGTGGTTGTCCCGCGGTTGTCTTGTGGTTGTCTCGTTGCTGTCTCGTGGTAGTGTCTGTGCTTTCCCCGCGGGTGCACACATATGCGGTGAGATCGATACTTTAGAGTGCGTTGATTTCGAGAGTTGTACATGCATGTATACAGATATTCATATGCATCGATCCTGTGATCGGACTGTAGACCGTATGAGCCAATGTATGGGGATATCAATCTCCATATATGGACAGGCCGCGGGTCCGATCCGACGCCGATCGCAAAGCGAAAGCTTCAACCATCTCCCCGACCTCCTTATCACCCGAAGGGTTATCCTGTAGGCATGGTGGGATCCTCTGCCGCTTGGCTGTTGACCGCAGCGCTCAAGCTGGATGTCGTGCGATTGGGGAGTGCAATAATGCTGGCCGAACATCAGCGGAGCTACGTTCCCAAGTACGCACGCGTGGACGGCGATATCGAGACAATGTGGCAATTGCCTCATGGAATGCCAAAGGGCCTCTTGTTCATAGCCCATGGATGCAAGCACCAGGGCACTGACGTTTTCAGTGATGTCGGACCCGACGGCTGGCGACTAGAGGAGTGCAGCAACTCCAATTCTGGCAGCTGCCTTGGCCTGCCAGAAGAAGTGAAATTGCGTCAGACTGCCAGGAGGCGCGGCTACGTCGTTGTGTCTGTGTCTGGCGGCTCGGGCTCTCGCAGCTGTTGGCACATGACGCAGGACCCGTCCCGTGTTTCTCGGGCAATCCGGCACGTCGTCGATTCAGAGGAGCTGCCGAAGGACATCGCCGTGCTGGCCACCGGTGCTTCTTCGGGAGGCGCATTCATGGGCACACTGGCCGCGCCGCTTGGGCCGGACGGTGGTCTGCCGAACTTGAAGTGCATCGTGCCGCAGATCTCTGGGACCGCTGGGGAGAACCGCGGCGTCCCCACTCTTTACGTGCACATGCCCAGGGACTCCAAGACTGCCGCTCGCATCGAGGAGCAGATTCGGGACCTTCGTGAGCGGGACGTGAGGGTCTGGGAGCTGAAGGTGCTGCAGAGGCCCGTGACGGAGGCTTTCCTGGAACAGTGCATGCCCGCCGAGGCCGCCCGGCAGGGACTGAAAGCGCTGCGGCACGCGAGCTTGTTGGACTCGCGCGGGTTTCTGAAGAATGGCAGCCGGCACAGGTTGTGGGTAAAGCCTCTCCAGGAAGCGGTGGGCGCCACAGTATCGGACACTTTCGAGGCGGATGCGAGCTGCGTCTCTGAGCTGATGAACGTGGCAGATGCGATACATGAGTTCACTGCCGAGTATTCAGAGCAGATGTCCAGCTGCCTGCGGCAAGTCCCGCCACAGTGCCAACCCAGCATTCTGGGTGGCGACAATTCAAGGGGGCACGGGAAGCCGTCACGTGTGACACCTCGTGTCTCCAGGCTTGGAAGAGCCCGGGTGAGGATGATGAGGATTATAAGGACGATGGGGGTAATAACGATGACGACGATGACGATCACGATGAGATGATGATGATGGTGATGATGGTGATGATGGTGATGATGACGACGATAGTGATGATGCTGACGATGTTGCTGATGATGATGATGGAGATGATGGTGCTGACGATGATGCTGATGATGAGGATGATGGTGCTGACGATGATGATTAGGATGAGAATGTTGATTCTGACGATGGTCATTCTGACGGTGATGATGATGATGCTGATGCTGATGCTTATGATGCTGCTGATGCTGTTGCTGACGCCGATGCTGCTGATGATGGTGGTGGTGAGACTGATGATGTTAGTTGTGCTGATGCATACGGTAGTGAGGATGATGATAACGATGGTACTATTCATGTTGTTGCTGATGGTCATGCTGATGGCGGTGGTTGTCTTGATGATGATTATGTCGATGATGGTGATGATGATGACGTTGATCATGATGAGGCTGATGATCAGGACGATGATCACTGTGACTACAGCAACGACGAAGATCATGAATATGACGTCGATCACGATGAATATGATGATGCTGATGTTGGTGATGATGCTGATGATGGTGATGCTGATGATGAGGATGATGATGCCTGTGACGACGACAACGGCGACGATGATGACGATGGCGTTGATCATGATGATGCTGCCGACGATGATACTGCTGTTGACGAAAGCGAGGATGTTGATTGTGGGCTTGATGATGCATATTGGTATGACGATGCTGTTCATGGCGATGATGCCGATGATGGTAACGCTGACGATGGTGATGATGATGATGATGATGACGATTCTGATTATGATGATGATGATGGCCGTGGTTGTGCTGGTGGGGTTGTTGGTGTTGATGGTGGTGGTGATGATGCTGATGTTGTTGAGGATGCTGCTGTTGATGATGATGATGATGATGATGATGATGATACGCAGACGACGATGATGCTGATGATGCTGATGATGACGCTGATGCTAATGACGATGCTGCTGCTGATGCTGATGATGCTGCTGCTTATGATGCTGATGCTGATGATAATGATGAGCGGTGATGGCGACGATGATGACGATGACGATGTTGATTATGATTCTGATGATGATGCGGTGATGATTATGTTGATGATGCTGATGCTGATGATGCTGATGTTGTTTATGGTGCTGATTCAGATGCTGCTGCTGCTGATGATGATGCTGCTGCTGCTGCTGCTGATGATGTTGATGATGCTGATGCTGAAACTTGTTTTGGCCGTCTTTGGGCCGTCCCCGCGTCCTGTGAGGCAGTCTTGTGGGTCCCATGGTGTACTCTTGGGTCGCCTTGGGGCCCTCTTCCGCCAGGTTGGGGCTCTCTTGGGTGGGCATAACAACCTTTGCCATGCGGCACAATATCCCAGGGGGGAGGTGGCCTAGGATGCGTGACCAGAGAGTTGCAACATGGGGCCTCGCAGAAACTCTCCTCTAAGGATCCTTAAAGGGGAGTCCACAACGCACTTTCTGGCAGCCTAGGATCTGGCGACCATTTGGGCTCAAGCCACTCTCGTCACACCTCTTCACTTTTCGATCCATCCAGCCTTCCGCAAGGGCCGCTGGACGAAGGCACAAGGGCTCGAGTTCCTGTTATCTGTGGACGAGCAGGCAGCGGCGCCAGAGGCTGTGACGGAGGCGGTGACGTTCTTGATGGCTGTCCCGACGATCTCCTCGAGTTTTATTTTGCAGGGGTCGGCGAGTCGGAGCTGCTTGGGGCCCGAGGTGCGCCGACGGGCATCGCCTCGCGGGGCCTCCTGCGCAGGGTGCTCCGCACGGTGGAGTGCGTCGCCCAGGCAAAGCGTCTCGCGATCGCGGGCGTCAGTGTTGCCTCGCCAGGGGCTGTCGGCGTTGCGGGGGGCGTTGTGGGCCGCCGCCTGGGAGGAGCGCTTTGGCCCTGGCCTCCCAGTGGCAGCCTCCCGCGACGCCGACGGTGGATGTGCGGGAGCTCTTGTGGAAAGTCAAGCTGGAGGCTCCCTTCCCACGTGCGGCCCGGGCAGGCGGTGTTCGAGACTTTGAAGAAAGACGCGAGGGTGGCGCGCACCCATGGGCGCCAGCCATTCACCTGCGTGGACCTCACGGCGAAGGAGGTGTTCCCTCTCCGGTTGCTTATAGAGTCGATTGGTGTCAAGCTCGTGCTGCTGGGGGAGAACGACTTCCTCAGCGCTGAGATCGCGACTGCCACCTTGGCGCAACTCCAGAACGCGCTGAAGTCGGTCACGTTAAGGCCGCGTTTCTTCCGCACGCTGGGGCAATGGTCGTCGGTGCTCACGCGGTATGGAATCGTCGCGGTAGCCCCGGAACAGCTCGCGTTCCCGCATGCGATATTCCACCGCAACTTGATCATGCAGCCCGCGGATTCCGAGCGCGCTGCGCCCCCCCCCCTCCTGCTCCCGGTTATCTGCGGTGAGATGGTGGAGGAGGCCTGGGCCACTCGAGCTGCTCGCAAGGGCCCGCTGCTCGTCCTCGATGACTTGGTCCAGGTCCAGGACAAGCCCGTGCTTGCCGCGTTGGCGAGCCTGCTTCGGACGGCGGGCATCCAGGACAGCGACGCCATGAAGCCGAGGGCGGACGCCGCGATCGAGAAGGAGTTCGTTTTAGCCAAGCATCAGGCGGCGATGGACTCCCCGACGAGGCGGGCCAATGATGCGTCCAATCGGATGGCGCAGCAGCAGAAGGCGTTTTGCCACGGAGCTTCTCGGAACTCGGGAGGCCAGGTGCAGCCTGGCCCTAAGCGTGCAGGCGGCTCGCCGCAGACCCAGCGCGATATGAAGAAGGAGAGGTTCTTCCAGCGTGTCAATGATCACAAGCAGCAGCAGCCGAGGTGCGCGCCCTGGCGCTGAGCCTGGCGCGCCCGCGCGGTGCTCACCGTTTAAGGAGCCTTTTGTCCATCGTGGGGGAGGGTTGCCCAGAGGGTTGCGCCCTCTGGAGCGCGTGCAGTGGGCGCGCTCGGTGGACCATCCGATGCTTGGGCCGGCCCTGAGTTGGAAGGGCATATGCAGGCTGCCCTGAGTTGGATTGCTGACGGCACTCCCTGCGTGGTTCAAGAGTTCTCAAGGTCTGGGCCCAGACAATTTTTAGCGTTGGCTGGGGGTCTCGCGAGGGCTCGGGAGGAGTGGGTCTGTCGGGCGCCACCCCGGAGTAGTAACCTGATAGGTTTACTGCGCGGGCTTTTTTTGGGCGCCTTGGGGAGGTTATTCAGTGGCCCGATGCGGCCCTGCCCGATCACCCGCATGGGTTTCCCTTGGCAGGTGCGCTCCGTCCTGCGTTCTACTCCTCTCAGCCGATGTGGAAGCCTCGGCGCCCCCCGCCGCTAGATGAGCTGGTTCGCGTTATCCAGATCCGGAAAGTGGAGTTGCTGAGCCGCCTCGATGACTTACCATGCTCCCGTGACGTAGGCATGGGCGTCGACGAGGACGTGGCGCTTGGGGCTATGCTCCCACCAGTCCCTATCGCCCCATTCCACGTCGACCATTTTTTCTGATGTGCCGCATCGGCGAAGATCTGCGACTGCTTAGTGGAGGCCTTCGTGGAAGGCGACCTCTTGCGTCGTCTTCTGGGGCTTCTCAAGCGCCTGAAAGGGCTGCTTGTGGGGCCGGAGGAGTTGCTGCAAACTGGTTTCGGCGTGCTCCTGAACGTTGCGGAGTTCAAGATGCGCCTGGACGTGACCTCCCTCGCCATCGTGAATGCTTCGCTGGAAAGGTGGCGGTCCCGCGGTTCCTTGTGCCGCTCGGGGTCCATTCGAGGTCGCGCCCAGCGGCCGTTCGTGGGCCTGGCCGGGGCGCGCTTCTAACAGGCGTTCCTTGATCTGGAGTCGTGGTTTGTGCAACTTGACGGTCTCGGGGCCGCGTGGTCCCAGTGGCGGACTGACAGAAGTACAAGGGTACATCAACTCTGCTGTCTCTGTTGCGAGTGGTCTCGTGGCAGCATTTGGGCGGCGTTGGCCCTGGAGACGTCGCTCGTTGTGGCAGGGGTACCTCAGCGCGGCTTGCTTCTGCGTGCTGCCTTGGAGGCACGTGCGAAGGGGAATCAGACGCGTGCTCGTGTTGAGAGGGCGCTGCCTGTATCCTCGTCCTGTTTGCCTTCTCCGAGCAGCGCCTGGGCGTGGTGGAGAAGGTGGCGCAGGCCCCGGGGGGGCGGCCGGGCCCGTCGGCCCTCGGGTCGTTCCAGCCGAGGACCACAATCGCGCAGTTGGAGGCGGCTTCTCTGCATTCGCTGGAGGGCTGCGGGCGTGCTGAGGGCCGAACGGCAGATCGCGCGAATTGAGACGGGCCAGCGGGGCCGTCCGTCGGGGGCATCTGCATGTCGATCGGGTCGCGCCTTTGCCGTCAGCGTGTTCAGGTATGACAGTGAAGACGCTCTCCCACCGAACTGCCAGGGCCATGTGCTGATGCTTCTGGCGACTTTCCAGGATTCAGGAACGGCCCGCAATGACCTTCCGCTTTCTGGAGTGGGCGCGCGCGGGGCCAGCAGCGGGCGCGCTCCGGCGCGGCCCGCGGGCTGGGGGGCAGGTGGAGGGCCCGGCGAAGATGCAGGTCAGACTGCGCGGGGGCCAATGCCCGAGGCCGAAGCCGCGCCGCAGTCTGGTGGAGCAGCCGCGCGCGCTCTCTGGGCCGCTGGGGGGTGAGAGCTTTGCCGCGTCAGTGCTTCTTGCGCGGGAATTCCTCTGGCGCGTGCAGAGCGCGTGCGCGCGCCGGCAGGGGGTCAGTGAGTCCCGTTTCGACGCCGCGGCCGGCTGGGCGGCGCAGCTATGTCGGCTTTGTCTTCGTCGACAGCGGGCTCCGCGCGCCGCCGGCCGTGCCCGCCCGCGCGCCCATCGGGCAGCGCGGCGCGCGCGGCGCAAGTGTCGCGAGTGGCGCCCCAGGCTTCGAGAACAACGGGGGGCCGGCGAATTCGGCCTCGTAGTGCTGGGGCTCTTTCGGCGGAGTTTTGGAAGGCTGCTCGGGGTATTTGGGGCAGCCCAGCCCTCGAGCTTTGCGCGAGACCTTCCGCTCCGAGCGCGCCGCCGAGCTTGCGGCGTTGCGGGGCGTCGGGCCCCCGGCCCCTCGAGGCTGGAATGGAGGGGGGTGCCGCCTTGAAGTCGGTCGAGGCTGGGGCGGTAGACGCGGCCGCGTTCGTGGCCCGTGTCACTGGTGCCAGCTCCGATGGGGGCTGCTAAACCGTTTTTTTTTTTGTTTTGTTTTCTTTTTCTCTCTCTCTCTCTCTCTCTTTCTATATATATATATATCTCTCTCTTTCTTTCTTTCTTTCTTTCTCTCGCTCTCTCTGTCTTTCTTTCTTATTCTGCGCCCGCAGAGTAAATGATTGAGTGGAGCGGCGTTGGGGAGTCTAGGCTGCGTTGGGTGGGTCGTTTTTCGGTCTGGCGGGGTCGGGGTGGGCCGCCTCCGGGCGCCCCTCGCCAATCCTCTGTCGCCCACTTCGCGGAGAGACGAAGAGGGGGGTGGCGGGGAAGCGGCGTGGCTGAGCGCTCCGCCAATCCGCGCCGGCTGACGACGGTCTAGCCAAGGTCCGTGTCTAGATTCTCCGAATGGGACGAGTCCCAGGGAAAATGCGCGGGCATAACAAACGTTGTCATGCGGCACAGTGTCCAGGGGGGACGTGCCTTGAGATGCGTGACCAGCGAGGTGCACCATGTGGCGCCTCCCCAGAGGATCCCTCGGTTGGGGAGTCCACAGCACACTATCTGGCAGCGCAGGGACTGGCGACCATTCGGCCTCAGTCCGCTTTCGTCACACCTCCTCGCATTTCCCGCCCTTCCAAACCCTTCGAGAGAGAAGTCGATGCTGTTGTGTCGTTTTTTTTTTTTTTCGTGTGTGTGTGTGTGTGTGTGTGTTTTGCAGTATGGCGTGGTTAGGGGGTGGGCCGCCTTGGGGCGCCCCTCGCCGTTCCTCTGTCGTCCACTGCGCGGTGAGACGAGGAGGGGGGTGGCGAGGAGGCAGCCTGGCTGAGCGCTCCGCCAGTCCGCGCCGCCGGATGACGGCTTATCCAAGGTAAGTATCCAGTATCCCCCATTGCGACGAGACCTTGGGAAACCTGTGCCGTCTTGGGGCCCTCTTGGCCGTGCGGTGGGTGTCTGGGGGCCGTCGTGGGGCCGTGTTGGCGCCATGTTGGGCCGTCGAAGGGTGTTCGAAGGCCGTCTCGGGTCCTACGGGAAACCCTATTGGGCCGTCTTGGGTCGTCCGTGTTGAAACAGTATTGCGCCGCCTTGAGGCCATCTTGTGCCATCTTGGTGTCCTTGATTGCCTGCGCGGGCCGCCTTTGAAACTCGGGGCGCGTATCCATTGTTTTTAACGAGGAGTCGTTGCTTGGGAAGCCTTGGGGCACTCGGGAGCAACGCTTGGGAATGTTGGAAGAGCACGTTCCTCGAGCGGGTGCGCGTGGGATAAATGGTCTAGGAGTTAGCAGCCATGCGGGAAGTGCACAATCCTCGAGCGGGCGCGCATGGAATGAGTGTTCAGGCATTAGCTGCCATGAGGGAAGTGCATTATCCTCGAGCGGGTTCGCGAGGACGGCGTTTCAGGCATTACTTCCCCTGCGGGAAGTGCACCACCCTCGAGCGGACACGCGTGGAATGGTGGTGCAGGCATTCGTTGCTGTGCTGGAAGTGCGCCGTCCCCGGAAAACGGCCTCGGAAAACAAGAGGCGATGCACGCAGGAACCCGCTGCTAAAAGGAGGGGCGGCCCCATATGACAGACTTCGGAATTCTTCCACGCCCAACGTGCCAGGGGGCAGGGTGGCGGATTAGACTTCTGTGAAGGTGCAGACATCGCTTGAGCGAGGCAGCGTGCGCTACAATACGATTATGTGTCGCCATCGGCCCTCGCAAGCGCTGGGGCAAAAGGGTAGACGTGCTTGTAGGTATGAGTGTGGGGGTGAGGGTCCGGGTGAGGGAACGTTTGCTGCGCCGAGAGCGCCACAAGCTGTCTCGCTCACTTCCGCCCGCCCTCCCACCATGTAGAACCCAAGGCCCAGCAGAGGCAGATGTCGCCATCGGATAGACAGCCATCGGGACTCAATACAGACGCCAAGTGTGCGGCGCCGGCGAGTAGAGGGAGAGAGAGAGCGAGAGAGCGAGAGAGAGAGAGAAATCAAAAGAAAGAGCGGGGAGGGGATGAACGCGAGTGTAAGGCTGCAGGCACGCTCGGGACCGGTAAGCATTATCAAATACGTCGTGCTTGGACTAAAGCGCTGCCAAATGTTTCCCAAGCACGGCTCTATTGCACAAGGCTTGATTAGCAAGGTGGCCATACGTAACAGACACAACTACGTCAATCGTGGAAACGGTTTTGCCAGCCTCGGTGTTCCTGGGATCGTCCCGAGGGTCCACGAACCGCGATTGTGGCGATCCGATTTGCTTTGGGCGTGTTTTGGGCGCTGGCGGTCCCAATGATCCCGTCGATTCTATTGTTATGTCGGGCCTGTCCCTCTACAGGGGGAATATTCAAAATAGTAAAAAAAAGTGCGGGGACGATTTTTTGAGAAGTTTTGAATTTTTGACTATTTTTTTCTATTTTCTATTTGACTGTTTTCTATTTTGTTTTTTGTTTTTTTTGGTTTTTGTTTTTGGTTTTTTGGACTGTTTTTTGTTTTTTTTGACTATTTCCCCACATCCTGAGTGGGGTTCTTGTTTTCCCAGAACACCCTCTCCTTCTCCTCCTCCTCCCGCGTCCTTCTCCTAAACCATACCATACCAAGCCATACCATACCAATACCTTACTATACCAATACCATACCAAGCCATACCAAGCCATACCATATCAATACCATACCATACCATACCAATACCATACCATACCATACCATACCAAACCAATAACATCCCAAGCCATACCAAGCCATACCATACCAATACCATACCATACCAATACCCCTCCCACCCCTCCCACCCCTCCAGGGAGGCCCCGCCTGAGCGAGGAGGGTATTCGCATCACCTGTTATTTCTCAGGTTTCGTGCCCCTCCCACCCCTCCAGGGAGGCCCCGCCTGAGCGAGGAGGGTATTCGCATCACCTGTTATTTCTCAGGTTTCGTGCCCCTCCCACCCCTCCAGGGAGGCCCCGCCTGAGCGAGGAGGGTATTCGCATCACCTGTTATTTATCAGGTTTCGTGCCCCTCCCACCCCTCCAGGGAGGCCCCGCCTGAGCGAGGAGGGTATTCGAAACAGTGTTATTTATCAGGTTTCGTGCCCCTCCCACCCCTCCAGGGAGGCCCCGCCTGAGCGAGGAGGGTATTCGCATCACCTGTTATTTATCAGGTTTCGTGCCCCTCCCACCCCTCCAGGGAGGCCCCGCCTGAGCGAGGAGGGTATCGGCATCCCCCGCCTGAGCGAGGAGGTCGTCAGGTTTCGTGCCCCTCCCACCCCTCCAGGGAGGCCCCGCCTGAGCGAGGAGGGTATTCGCATCACCTGTTATTTCTCAGGTTTCGTGCCCCTCCCACCCCTCCAGGGAGGCCCCGCCTGAGCGAGGAGGGTATTCGAATCACCATGTTATTTATCAGGTTTCGTGCCCCTCCCACCCCTCCAGGGAGGCCCCGCCTGAGCGAGGAGGGTATTCGAATCACCTGTTATTTATCAGGTTTCGTGCCCCTCCCACCCCTCCAGGGAGGCCCCGCCTGAGCGAGGAGGGTATTCGCACACCCATTCGTGGGAGGCCCCGCCTGAGCGAGGAGGGTATTCATGTGCAGGTTTCGTGCCCCTCCCACCCCTCCAGGGAGGCCCCGCCTGAGCGAGGAGGGTATTCGCATCACCTGTTATTTATCAGGTTTCGTGCCCTCCCACCCCTCCAGGGAGGCCCCGCCTGAGCGAGGAGGGTATTCGCATCACCTGTTATTTCTCAGGTTTCGTGCCCCTCCCACCCCTCCAGGGAGGCCCCGCCTGAGCGAGGAGGGTATTCGAATCACCTGTTATTTATCAGGTTTCGTGCCCCTCCCACCCCTCCAGGGAGGCCCCGTCTGAGCGAGGAGGGTATTCGCATCACCTGTTATTTATCAGGTTTCGTGCCCCTCCCACCCCTCCAGGGAGGTCCCGCCTGAGCGAGGAGGGTATTCGCATCACCTGTTATTTATCAGGTTTCGTGCCCTTCCCACCCCATCCAGGGAGGCCCCGCCTGAGCGAGGAGGGTATTCGCATCACCTGTTATTTCTCAGGTTTCGTGCCCCTCCCACCCCTCCAGGGAGGCCCCGCCTGAGCGAGGACGCTATTCGAACACAGTGTTATTTATCAGATTTCCTGCCCCTCCCACCCTCCAGGGAGGCCCCGTCTGAGCGAGGAGGGTATTCGCGAACAGTGCTATTTATCAGGTTCCGTGCCCGTCCCACCCCTCCAGGGAAGCCCCGCATGAGCGAGGAGGGTATTCGCAAACCATGTGATAGAAAAGGATGGAGAGGGCGAGGGCAGGTCGGCAATTTCTCTACAAAATGTTGCTTGATCCCGCTAGCCCAAAAACATCATTATGTGGGGAACTCCGTTAGCATAATTTCTATTTTTCGTCCAAGATCCCCCTGTAGGGGACGCCCACTTAATTCTATTGTGATGCTTCTGTGAGATCCTGGGCGCTGCTCTGCGCGAGCGGGCGGAGTCACAGGCTCCCGGGCGGCGAGGGGGGGGCGCGCCCCGCGTGGAATTTCGTACTATGAGTTGACCCTGGGGTATGGTGATGATGATGAGCAGAAGGAGGAGGAGGAGGAGAAGGAGGAGGATAATAATCAGGAGGAGGAGGAGGAGGAGGGAGGGGATATGAGGAGGAGAAGGATCAGGAGAAGGTGGAGGATCAGGAGAAGGTGGAGGAGGAGGAGGAGGAGGAGGAGGAGGAGGAGGAGGAGGAGGAGGAGGAGGAGGAGGAAGGGAGGAGGAGGAGGAGGAGGAGGAGGAGGATGGAGGAGGAGGAGGAGGGAGAGGAAGGGGAGGAGGAGGAGGAGGAGGAGGAGGAGGAGGAGGAGGAGGAGGAGGGAGGAAGGAGGCAGGAGGGAATCAGGAGGTGGAGGAGGAGGAGAGGAGGATGAGAGGAGGAGGAGGAGGAGGAGGAGGAGGAGGAGGAGGAGGAGGAGAGGAGGAGAAGGAGAAGGAGGAGAGTATCAGGAGGTGGAGGAGGAGGAAGAGGAGGAGGAGGAAGGAGGAGGAGGAGGAGGAGGAGGAGGAGGAGTAGGGAGGAGTAGGAGGAGGAGGAGGAGGAGGAGGAGGAGGAGGAGGAGGAGTATGAAGGGGAGGAGGAGGAGGAGGAGGATGAGGAGGAGGAGGAGGAGGAGGAGGAAGAGGCTCCGTAGTACTTTTGGCTTGACCGCCCTCGGGAGGCGTTGGCTCCCGGCTAGGGCGGGGCGCCTCATGGACCGGCCCATGGAAGCCGCGCTGCGGGAGGTGTTCGTGCGCGGCTGCGGCCTTGACCCCTGGCCGCACCAGCTGCAGGCGGTGGCGCACATCTTAGAGGAGCTCGATGCGGCTGCTCCTGCCGGCGGGGACCGCCAGCAGAATTTCTTGGTACAGCACAGCACAGGCAGCGGCAAGTCGTTGACCATGGCGCTCATGGCCTGGGCGCTGGGTCACGTGGCCGAGCTCGGTGGGCGCGGGCGCACGTTCGTGCTGACGCTGCTGCTCAGCGACCGGCGGCAACTGGACATGCAATTGGGCGATGCTTGCGCCCCCTTTCTGAGCAAGGCTGGGATGCCACCGTCCAGCGTGAGGCGGTGCGACGATGGAGGGGACCTGGTCAAGATGTTGGGAGACGTTGCGTCTGCCAGGAACGGGGGGCCTTCGAGCTACCAGGTTATCATCACGACCAAGCTCGGCGGCGAGCGAGGGGGGGAAGTGACAAGGAGAAGACCTTCTCAGAAGGCGGCGGGGCTTCTCCGACGCCCTCTGGCCTTCAGAGAGGTTTTCTGTGTCTTCGGGGAAGGCTTGGAAAACTTCTCAGGAGGCCGTGAGACTTCCGAGCCTTCCGAGAAGGGTCGCCCGTTGTCATTCCCCCCCTCGCTCGCCGCCGACAAGCAGCGCTTCGACCGCCTTTTTGAAGGCGGGAGGGCCCATTCTCGGAGCGGGTATCGCCCTGGCGCGCTCGTGCCCATCCTGCGGCGTGGCCTCGTCGCAGTTGTCTGCGAGGAGGCGCACCGCTCCCACTTCATCGGCGACTGCACCACGAAGACGGTCAACCGCCTCTTCGGTGCCCACAGCCTGCACGAGGTCGCTGCGAGTCGGCGGCGAGCGAGGGGGCGAAGTGAGAAGGAGAGGGCCTTCTCAAAAAGCGGCAGGACTTCTCGGAAGCCCTCGCACCTTATGTGAGGTTTTTGTGTCTTCGGGGAAGGCTCAGAAAACTCCTCAGAAGGCCCGGGGGACTTCCGAGCCCTCTGAGAAGGCCCGCCCCTTCTCACTTCCCCCCCCCGCGCTCGCCGCCAAGAGGTCGCTGCGAGAGCAGGCTGGCAGCCGCATGAGCTTTCGTACATCGGCTTCAGCGCCACCCCAGACGAGCGGACACTGAAGCGCTTCGGACTGCGCCAGGACCTCAGCCATACCCTGCGATGCTGGCGGCCGGTGCACGCTTACCACATCGGCCAGGCGGAAGGGGATGGCGTCATCATGGACGTGCTGTCGAACTACGCCAGGAGCAGCTGGCCAGAAGGCTCCACGTCGAGCTCCCGTGCCGCCTGGCTGCTGGAGGACCTCGCGCGCAAGCGAGACGCGCAGCCCGCGGACCTGCGGCCGCGCTGCGCTGGGATGCTGGTGCCGCGGGGCTCAGGACTACACACCACCAGCGCCTCCCTCGCCCCCTCCCTCTCCAAGGGCTCCCAGGAGGACGCGAAGTTAGCCGCGCTTCGCGCTTCGTGGTCCTCGTTCCTTCTCCCCCTCCTCCTCGTCCTCCTTTTCTCCCCTTCGGGGGGGGCGGCGCGCGAGCGCGAAGTGATTCGGTGTATGCCCTTGGGGCCCGCAGGTGTGCAGCAGCCGTGCCGAGGTCGTCCAGTGGGTCCGGGCGCTGAGGGCTGCCCAGGCGGCCCGGCAGGGCCCCGCGCTCCCCGGAGGCGCAGGCGCCGGGGGCCGGCCGGCGGGCCGCGGGTGCCACGGAGTGTTCGGCTTCTACAGCGGCCTCCTGGAGGGCGCCGAGGGCGAGGAGGCGGAGGGGGAGGTGCGCCTGAACGGGGGGCTCAGCCTGCCGGACGCGTGCGCCGCGGCCCGAGTTCTCGTGGTGTGCCGCAAGCTGGAGACGGGGTACGACAACCCCCACCTCTGCGTCCTGTACAGCTCGGCGGCGAGCGAGTGGGGAAAGGAACAAGGAGAGGAGGCGCTGGGGCTTCTCAGCAGCCCTCGTGCCTTCTGAGAGGATTTTTCGACTTCGGGGAAGGCTCAGAGAACTTCTCAGCAGGCCGAGGGACTTCCGAACCTTCTGAGAAGGCCCGCCTCTTCTCACTTCCCCCCCGGGCTCGCCGCCGAACATCGCGCGCAGGCTTGAAGACCGCAAGCAGATCGTCCAAGTGCTTTCCCGCATCAACCGGAGTCTGCCAGGCAAGATCCCCTTTGTTGTCGACTTCTGCAACGACATCGGTGCCATCCAGGCGGCGTTCCACAGCTTTCGGTGCGACGCTATCGCATGCAGCGAGCCGCGGCGCGGCGCCGCCGTGGCCCAGCTAGACGAGATTCTGAAGAGGCTGGGCTCCCTACTGGTTGACGGCTCCAGTGGCGTTGCCAGCAACCCTCATCACGACTTGCACGACTATCGCAGACGCCTCCGGCAAGTCGCCGGCGCCCTCTGCCTTTTGGGCCATGCTCGTGTGGTCGGCTTTTGGGCCAAAGTTTGGCCAAGCTTTTCTCTTGTGTGGGTCCCGAGCCATTGCAGAAACGACTGAGGGAACGGGGGGGGTGGGGGGGGACAGATTTTACATTTTTTGTGGGTACACTTGGGGCGAAATTGGTGAGCTCTGGGGCCCTCTGGCGCTATGTTGGGGGCTCTGGGAGTCTTGAGGAGGCCTGGGCAGTCTTTGGGAGGCTCCAGAAAGCTCATCCTCTGATTCATTTTTATGCTGACCCTCACACTCTGCGTGGACTTTCCCATCTCGCAGAGGGAAGATGGAATCTGAGGTGCTATCGGCAAACCTTGTAAAACACGCATTTCGCGGGTGAGGTGTGGTGGGGGAGAGTTGCATCCGAGTGGAAATCGTAATATCTTGCAAACAAATGTGAAATTAGCACCACCATCTCTGCTGGAGGAGGGGTGGGATCTGAGCGGATATCCGCAAACCTTGCAAAACGCTACTGACGTGGACCTCCAGCTCTTCCAGGGGCCTGGAAACCGAGTGGATAATGGCCCTGACAGCATGGCAGGGTTTCACAACAGCGTATAAGGCACCACGACGATTGCCCAACAGGCTCCAAGAGGCTGGACATTATTCACATACGCACGAGATGCTCCATGAGAGCCCCTTGAGTCTCGAACAGGTACCCTGGCGGCGGAACGCAGCGGCACGCCGCAGCACGCAGCAGCGGCAATCAGCATTGCGCAGCAGCAGCAGTCAGCATCAACCAGCAGCACGCAGCCGCAGTCTGTCCCCAGAGTGGATGGAAGTTCATATTACGTATACGTAGGTGTTACCTTGGAGTCTTGGACGGCCCAATAATGCGCCAGGGAGTTGCCAAAAAGGCCTAATATGGATCCATAATGATATCAGGACGTCCAAACGATTTCAGTCTGGCCCATGAGGGTCCAAGAGTCCCCTCACCCTCATATTCTCTGAGGGAGGTGCCGATCGGGAGCAAAAGAGGCTGTAGACAACCAGCATCGCCAGTATCGTCAACACTAAACTCTGGCCTGCGAGAGCCTCCTAACGGGCTTCAAGACACACCCACAGGCCCTAACAGTGCAATAGGCCCCCAACAGGCCCCCCAGATGTCTGCAGAGACCGCCAAGAGGCCAGCAAGATGGCCCAGGATGCCCAAGCGAGCTCCCTGACGGACTGAGTGGGTTTCAAAAGGGCGCATAACGCCCAAAGACTGGCCAACATTCCAGAGCCTGGAAAATCTACAAGGGGCCCAAGAGAGGCCCCACGAGTCGCGAAGAAATGTCCTAGCGGCAGAACGCAGCGGACCACAGCAGCAATCAGCAGTACGCGCCAGCAGCAGTCAGCACAAAACGGCACGACGCAGCAGCAAGGAACCGCGAACGACAGCAAGCAGCAGCATCAGCCGCAACCGTCTCAAGCATCAGCGCGTCCCGTTGTGCCGAAGTATGCGTTAGCTCAGATATCGGCCTCTGAACGCGGATCAACCGGATTCTGCGAGGGATCGCGGCTCTGAAAAGGAGTAAGTTCAATACCTGGTGCCCGTAGCCCCCGCCTGGCGCGGATAGGAGTGAGGGGCCTTCACTAAATTCGGAACTCGTGTGAAAGACAGACAAGGCCGACGTGGGCGCCGTGCTTTTTTTGTCGCGTACCCTCTCTTCCCTTCTTCTCTGCCTCTCTCTCTCTCCCCCTCTCTCTCTCTCTCCCTTCCTCTCTCCCTCTCTCTCCCTCTCTCTCTCTCTCCATTCTTGGGCGGCAGTGGGTGTTCTGCGCAGCCCAGACAGACCCCGCACCAGCGCTGGACCCTCGGCGACCTCAGGGCCTCCGCCGAGCTGCGGGCCCCCGGGGGGCCACCTCCGCAGCCGCCCCGCCCCCTCGCCGCAGCGGGGGGCCCCCTGCACCCCCGGCGCCCCGCGCACCAGCGACGCCGCGGGCCCCAGCTCGGCGGGGCCCCGCGGTCTCCTCCTCCTCCTCCTCCTCCTCCTCTCTCCTCCTCTCCTCCTCCTCCTCCTCCTCTCCTCCTCCTCCTCCTCCTCCTCCTCCTCCTCCTCCTCCTCCTCCTCCTCCTCCTCCTCCTCCTCCTCCTCCTCCTCCTCCTCCTCTCTCCTCCTCCTCCTCCTCCCCTCCTCCTCCTCCTCCTCCTCCTCCTCCTCCTCCTCCTCCTCCTCCTCCTCCTCCTCCTCCTCCTCCTCCTCCTCCTCCTCCTCCTCCTCCTCCTCCTCCTCCTCCTCCTCCTCCTCCTCCTCCTCCTCCTGCTCCTCCTCCTCCCCCCCCCGCCCCCGCCAGAAGGAAAGGAGTTTGGATCGGGACGATCGACATGGGCACGGTGTGTTCGCGTCGTTCGGCGGCGAGCGAGGGGGGGAAGCGAGAAGGGGCGTGCCTTCTCGAAGGGCTCGGACGTTCCCCAGCCTTCTGAGAAGTTGTCCAAGGATTGCCCGAAGACAGAGAAAACCTCTCAGAAGGCGCGAGGGCTGCTGAGAAGTCCCGCCGCCTTCTGAGAAGGCCCTCTCCTCCTTACTTTCCCCCTCGCTCGCCATCGAGTCATGTCGACTGGCGGCGATCCCGCCGTCGGCGTTCAGCGTTGGACGCCGCCAGTGACCCAGAATCAGTCGATGTTGAGCGATCTGACGTTTTCGAAAACGACCGATGTTTCAAGGTTGAACGATCCCCGTGGCGTTAGGAACCAGCGCCAGGGTCGACACCGCGCGAAACCGCCGCACGGAGGGAATGGGTACGCAGACCGACAGCGTTTCCTGGTCATTTTGGACAAGACTCGCTATCGGTGTCACTGCGGGCGTTGTCCGCTTGAGATAAGAAAGCCGCCTGCCCAACATCGGCCGCTTTCGGTTTTGAGCAACACTTGTTGTTGGGCATCGTACTCATTTGTTCAGTACCTATTGCGCGCATCCATTGTCGAGGTTCTAGAATTATGATGATCCTAAGTGCAGTCAAAACCAACAAGTACGCGCTGCTTTCTCAAGGCTGCCCTTGCTTTCTTGATTCTTCGGGCCATCCTGAGCCAATGTTGACGTCCAAGGAGCTCTCAAGTGGCACAAGCACACATAAACGTCGACTTTTGGAAGAGGTGGTCAAATATGAGAAATGTGCGGGAAGAGGACAATCCGGGCGGGACATCTGCAAGCATATGCGAGACCTTGCAGTTCTTGCCGATCCAGTTGTGCCCCCCCGGGCCCCTTTCGAAATTGTGGGGGTGGGAGTTCCAAGGGTCTTGCATCCTTGTCCTGCGTCTTTGCTGTGGGCCTGGACTGTAAGCCCATCGTGCCGCCAGGCTGCGGAGCTACTGCGCCGCGAAGAGCTCGTCCCCCCGCTCCCCGGGAGGTCGCACGCGGCAGGGCGGAGCAGGTCGTGCACGGGCCACACGACGGCCCCCCGACAGCAGCCCCCCGCGGATACGAGGGGGCATGAGAACTAAGGAGGAGGAGCCGGAGGAGGTGGAGGAGGAGGAGGAGGAGGAGGAGGAGGAGGAGGGGGAGGAGGAGGAGCAGGAGGAGGAGGAGGAGGAGGAGGAGGAGGAGAAGGAGGAGGAGCCTCGCCCGCGCCGCCCGGGGGCCGGCGGACTTCTCTCTCTGCGACGAGCTCGGCATCGCGCGCTCCAGCCGTGCGCGGGAGTTCCTGGAGGCAGTGCTGCGGCAGCCGGCGGCGCAGGGCCTGCGCCAGGAGCCGGGTGCGGACAACAGATCCATCCAGGAAGGGAAAAACACACAGACACAATGAATCGTCGACTCCCAGGAACATATGGGGAACTAGGGGAAGTGGGGGGAAGAGAAAACCCAGAACATATGGGAAAATATGGGGGATCCTGTTCTTTGTGTGTGCATTTATTTGCGTGTCCCAGGGCCCCTTCATCCATACAGTCAAGACGCTGAGCTGAAGTGAGTACCGCCTTGGGCTCCGGAGGGGCGGGCTTTTCCGTAGGGGTAGGTTCAGAGGAGGCAACAGGTACCCCAGATTTCGTAGTAAAAGGGAGGGGGTCTGGACCCTCCAAGACAAGCCATTTCAGACCTCCCCCGTGGGAGAACCCTTCAAAACATCGTCCCCAGACCCCCCAGGCCCTCCAAGATAGCCTGAAGGACATCCCCCGAAATCAGACCCCCTCCCTTTTATTACGAAATCTGGAGTGCCCTTGCCTCGCTGTCCCCTTGTTTGGGGCCTCCCGGGAGGCCCTCGTCGCCGCCGCTGGATTCGCTTCGAGATCCTGGTCAGAGCGCTCCTCGGGAGAGCTCCGTGGAGCAGCGGCATCAGTGCCTCCTCGTTTCCCCAGCCCAGACGCCGCAACGAGCACCACCTTGGGCTCCAGAGGGGCTCCGGTGTTTGGGCCGTTCCTTCAGGTTTAGGCTGAAGTCGGGCCTGTCCCCCTACAGGGGGATTTTCGATGAAAAAAGAAAGCATGCCCCCAAAATGGTAAAACAATAATCCAAAAATAGTCTGGGGGCTATTCTTTAGTATTTTTTTTGCCTGTTTGGGGTATTTTTGGGGTGTTTTTTGTTTTTCGTCGAAAATCCTCCTGTAGGGGGACACGCCCGACATAAGTGTGGGCCGGGGAACCAATTCGTGGCCGAGGCTCGCCGTGGTCAGGCAAGCCCCTTCGTTCCTTACTCAGGGTGACCGTGTCCGCGGCCTCGCGGGCCGGGTCCCTGCGATCACGACCGCCAGTCTGCAGTATCGAGATGAGCTCGAGCTGTGGACAAGCAAGGCGCTGTGAAGCACAGTTCTACGAAGCCACACCCTCGCGCGCGCGCGGAGTGCAAGGTTGGCGCGCTCGCATGCCATTCATGTATATCGACAGGAAGCTCTACGAGTTCCCGGCCGCGACTCCGCGGACGCGGGGCGTTGTTTCGCGGGTGCCCCCCGCGCGAGGCGTCTCCGCGCGGCTGCGTATCCTCGGGGACGGCGCCCCGGGGGCCCCGGCCGCGAGGGCGCGGGCGCGCATGCGTCGGCCGCTCCCGCAGGAGGGCGGGCTCGTCTTCGTGGACCAGGGCGTGGCGAGGCGGCAGCTGCTGCAGATCAGGCCCTGCGCGCGCTATGGCGGCGTCACCAGGTTCCACAAGCCGGGGGGCCAGGTGCGAACCCAACCCCTACCCTTAAGTCGGGCCTGTCCCCCTGCAGGGGGATTTTCGACGAAAAATGCAAAATGTTTGGGGACTATTTTTGGAGTATTTTCTGACCTTTTTTCGGGTATTTTTGGGGTATCTTTTTATTTTTCGTCGAAAATCCCCCTGCAGGGGGACACGCCCGACATAACCCTACCCCCCACGACTTCTGAGGGGGAGGGTGGGGTTCACTTCGCTCGGGAGCGCCCGAAAGAAGCGAGCCCCACCCTCCCCCTCAGAAGTCGGGGGGGGGTATGGGTAGGGTTCGCATGTGGCCCCCTACAAGCCGCGGAGGCTCGCGGCTAAGCCTGGCGTGCTGGTGGAGGAGGATCTCGCCGCCAAGATGCGCCCTGGCGCCAAAGCGTGCACGCCAGGGGCGCTGGTGAGCGATCGCTGCGTGCAGCTCCGATGCGAGCAAGACGGCCTGCGGGTGAATCTGCGGGGGCCCGGCCCGGAGCTGGAGGCGCTCTTCGCTGCCAGCGAGCGGTCGGCGGCTTTTTTCAGGAGCCCCACCGAGCAGCCTGTCGTGGACACATCCAATCCGTATCCAGTCTTTATTTGCACCAAAGGCCGAGCAACCTCGGCGCTGCTTGACTGGAGGGCAGATCACTGTCTGGGCCCCAGCTGCCCCGGCGAGCCCCACCACGTGCCCGTCGTTCTCGTGGTGGAGCCGCAGGAGGAGGAGGCGTACCGCGCGACATGGCCTTCCTTGCCACGCTTGGTCTTGCCGCGCGCGCCCAACGGTGCGATTGGGTATCGAAGATGCCTACGGCGAATCACCGCCGCCCCCTGCTTTTAGGATACGCCTATGTGGCCAAACGTTTCGGCAAAGTTTGGCCACGCTATTCGACCGTGCGTTCTCCCAGCCGTTGTGGAAGCCCTTCGGGGAACACGTGGGGGAGGAAGAGGAGGATGAGGGGAGCGAGGAAAAAGGAGGATGAGGAGACGGATGAGGAGATCTCCTAGGATCTTCTTGGGTCATTCTTGGGGCTTCCTGGGAGCTTCCTGTGGGTTTCTTGGATGCCTCTTGGGGGCGTTTGGGGGCTTCTCGGGGGCTTCTTCGGCCGTTTCGGGCGTTCCAGGCCCGTCCGCTGCCGTCGGATGCCGTCTTGGGTGGGGGCCTCTCTGAACCGACTTTGGGCCCTCTTGGGGTGCTTCAGGGCCGTCTTGGAGGCTATCCTGGGCGTCTTGGAGGCCTCCTGGGCCGTCTTGAGGCCCTCTTAGGGCCATCTTGAGGCCCTCTTGGGCCGTCCTGGAGTCATGTTGGAGGCCTCTTGGGGCTCTGAGGGCGATCTTTGGGGCCTCTTGGGCTGTCTTGGACCGTCGGAATGTTGAAAAGAAGCGAAATCCAGAGTCCTTCCAAATTGCAGGGGAGACATGATTTTGGCCTCTTCGGACCTTCCTGGATGACCTCTTGGAGACCGGCCTCTTGGGCCGTCTTGGAGGCCTCTCGGAGGCCTCTTGGGCCGTCTTGGGCCATCTTGAGGACATCTTCGGCCATCCTGGGTGCATTTTGGGCCGCCTTGGGTACATCTTGGCGCCATCTAGGGCCCTCTCGGGGCCTTCTTGGCCGCCATGGGGTTGGAGGCCATCTTGGGGCATCTTGGAGCCATGCGGAGCGGAAAAAAACCCCTGCCCACCACCCCGCTCGGAGTCGCCCGGGGGCTTTCTGGGTGGCTGGCGCGCCGGGCCGACGCCCTTCGGGGGGAGTTCTCGAAGAACCCGAAGTCCTCCGAAGTTCAACACGCCAGGCACCCCTGTGGCAAGCCACAGGGGGGCGGCGGATCCAGCGGCCTGCGGCCCATCCCGCCGCCGTGCCTGGTGCGTGGAGGAGGGGGGGGGGTAGGAGGGAGAAACTGACGAGGAGGGAGAACGAAGAGGCATCGTATTTTTGGTCGTGACCCTGGCGATGCGATCTGCCGGAGTAGACAGCCAAGAAGGCAGCTCGGAACGTTGCGCCGCATTCGAGTAACCAGCGCTGCGATGCTGTACTGTGGCGTTGCCTTAATTTCACATGTCTGTCGCGCATCCTCTTGTGGGCTTCTCGCAGGCTTCTGGACCCTCGGGATCTTCTTGGGAGCCTCCGGGCGTCTTTGCGGAGGGGGAAAACCAAATTGTGTTCCCGCGGTCTTTTCATGGACCCCCTCTTCTGGCGCTTGGGGAGCTCGGGGCGCCTTCTTGGGACCATCTTGGAATCCCCTTAGGCCCCTTGCGTGGCTCTCCAGGGGGTTCTTGGCCTTCGGGCTTGTCTGAGGTTCTGCCAAAGGAGCTCTCACTCCTCTTGTGCAAGAGAGCTGGTGGCGATCATCTGGCCCCCCACGCGCCCCACTAGGTTCCCCAGCTGGTCGCAACAGGTTCCTCGTGGGGTTCCTTGGGGCCCCAGGGGCTCCCCAGTTACTACTCAACGTGATGCAATTGTATTTGCTGTTTTATGTTATGCGCTAAGATATACCATTCCGCGCTATGCGATGCCATGCACTGCGGTACCATACACTGAGCAGGCTTACTATTCCATGCTGCTGTATGGTTTGACTTGCGATTCAATTCTTGTTAATTCAATGCCACGTTGTGTTGTGCGACGCTTTTCTTTGGGATGCACTGTTATGCCGTGCTTTGTGCTACGCAAGTCAGTGCTGTGTCATGCCATGTATGCGCCATCAGGGTATGTTGTGCTGTGCTATTCAACTCGATGCCATGACATGCGCTGCATTACATTTCTCGGGCCGGGCGAACGGGGGGGATTGGGAAAGGGTGGGTTACGAAATTTGCTGCATGCAGCTGGTTTCGGCCTCACCGAGGGGCCCATTCCTCGATACATAGCTCCATCCGGCGCCGGGAGGCGCCAGGAAAATCAGCTACGTGAGCTGATTCTCAAACCCCCCCTTTGCTATCCCCCCCTTTCGCCCGACCCGAATTTCCTTGCCGAGCCATGCAATGCAGTGGTATACCGTGCCACTATGCTCTGCAAGGCGATGCGAAGCCATGTAATTTTATGCATTGCCGAGCAACGCTGTACTATCCTAGGCAATGCAGTGCAGTGCGACTGTGTGCTACGCGGTGGTGCGATGCACGAAGCAATGCTACGTAATGTTTCTGTACGCTGATCTGCTATGCTATGAGATGTCTTGACTAGCTATGGTCTGCCTTGCTCTGTTGTGCAGTCCAGCACGCTCTCGGAGAGCGCGTGCGAACCAGAACGCTATGAGCAGACCGCCGTGCCCGAGACCTCCTCAGGCGGCGGCCCTCCTCCTCTTCCTCCTCCTCCTCTTCCTCCTCCTCCTCCTCCTCCTCCTCGTCCTCCTCCTCCTTGCCTCCCTACGCTAAGCTGTACACTTTCCGAAGCAGGGCTTGCACTTCAGGGCCCCGGATCGTCTTCTGAGTGCTGCGATGCGTGGTCTGAGGCTTCGCCCGATGGACGCCCCGTGGGTGCTCCGCGTGTGGTGGGTGGGCCAGGGTTTCGCCCGTTGGGCGCCCGTGGGCGCCTGGTGGGCGCCCCGCGTCCGGCGAGGTGTGCCTGGGCTTCGCTCGGGGAGCGCCTCGTGGGCGCCGCTAGCAGTGCGCGCACGACTGCTCCCATGACGACCGCTACGACTACTGCCGCTACTGTTGCTGCGGCTACTAGTTTTGGTACTGTTGGTAATTCTGGTTCTACGGGTGTGGCTACTGCAGCGACTACCACCATGGCGCCTATTGCGAACGCTTCGTGTTACTACTACTACTACTACTGCTACTACTACCGCCTCACCCCGCCCCACCCCCACCCCCACCACCACCACCACTAGTACTACGACGGTGACTACTACGAGTACCACGACTACCAGTACTACTATCACGAAGGCTACTACTGCTACTTCTAGCACTTCCGGCAGTCACCATATTTCCAGGGTCCAGGCTCTTCTTTGGTGATGCACGGGGCCCACTACGGGTGTCTCCACGGGGCCACACGCGCGATCCGTTCAAGCTCGGTGCTGCAGCGGTACAGGATACCCCATAAGCGCTTTGCAGCGCCACAGTGGGCACCCGACGGCGTATCCGACGGCGTGTAGCGTCTCGCCGTGGCGTATGGCTCCGAGAACGGCGGTGTGATCGCTGTCGGGGCAGGCCAAACAGCCCAGGAAGCGCCGCCACCCGAACATACGGACACAGTAGGTCGGCGTCGTGTCGACCGGCGGCGGCCCCGCCGCTGGCGTTCAACGCTGAGCTCCGCCGTCGACCCAGAATCGGTCGATGTTGAACGATGTGACGTCTCGGAAACGGCCGATCCTTCAGTCACCAGCCTCGAGCTGATCCCTATCCCTGAGATTGACACGCCAAGAGGCGATGACAATCTTAGGGATGCACCCTCAGAAACTGAGGGAATCCCTAAGATCGCCCTTTGTGGGCCCCGGAAAAACGGCAGGGCCGTTTTTTCACCGTTTCCAAAACAAATGTCCCTTGAAAATGGAACCGGCAAAGAAAAGGCGACCGGAAACGGCAAAAAAACGGCTCCAGGATTGGAACTGGAGCCGGAACCGGTCAAACAACGGCGACGGAACCGGTAACAAAAACGGCGTCGGAACCGGCAAACAAAAACGGCAAAGCGGAACCGGTAAAGAAACGGCCCTTTCGTTTCCAGGGCCCACTAAGAGATCGCCATCGTGATGAGGCGATGCCCAACATAGGGATACGGATATGTTCAGGAGGGAAAGAAACACACAGACACAATGAATCGTCGATTCCCCAGAAAACATGGGAACATATGGGAAGTGGGGGGGAAGACAAAAACCCAGAAAATATAAGAACATATGGGGAATCTGTTTTATTTGTGTGTATTTATTTGTGTGTTTGCTGGCCCCTTCATATGTTCTGGGCTGGTTATTCAAGGTTGAACGATCCCCGCGGTGCCAGGAGCCAACACCGGGGGTCGGCACGACACGAGCCCGCGGTACTATATTCAGGAGAGGAAAACACACACAGACACAATTAATCGTCGATTCCCCAGAAAATATGGGAAACTATGGGAAGTGGGGGGGAAAACAAAAACCCAGAACATATAGGCAAATATTTGGATTGTTTTGATTTGTGTGTATTTATTTGTGTGTCCCAGGGCCCCTTCATATATTTGCGTCGCCCCCGAAAGGAAGGCGCGCGCGCCGAGGACCCTTGTAGGCATGACTGTGCTCCGCGGCGGGTGCTCTCTGGCCGCGCCGCTCGGGGAGCGAGCTGCTACAGGACGTCCTGGGGTCTCAGGGTGGGGTTTCTCGCGGAAGGCTTCTTGTGGACTGGCCTCCACTGTATATCTTCGGTCCGGACACGCCTCCGACGACGACGCATAATGCTGGTATGCTCTCGTGCGTACCGTGCTACTACGACTGATGTCATCACTACTGCATAAATTTCACCCCGCTGTTCACCATAAAACTTGCACCACAGGGCTTCCGCCCGATAGTTTGCACAAATTTGCTTCGTCACGTAGCTTGCACCCCCGCAGTGTGTGAACTCACCGTGTGGGGTCCACGCTGGCAACCATCTTATGCAACGCTGTGTTCTGCCACGATTTGGCAAACTATGCCATGCTCTTCTATGCAATGTGAGGCTCTGCAGTGCCACGATGCGCTTTGCACTGTCAATCCATGCTGCGCAATGCTGCCCTACCATAATTTGCAAGGGGGGTCTGTATGCTATGTGATGCTATGCGTTTCTATGCGATACGCAGATTTGTATCACACTACGCTGCATTGTCACTCTGTGTATGCTTCCAGCGATTCGAGCTCACCCAATTTGGGTCGCGCGCGGGTTGCCAAAGACGGTGCCGCGGTGGCCATGCGCGCCAACCGCCCAGTGTTCGGGGGCGCCCAAGAGCGATCTGGACGCCCGAAATGGGTACGGAAAGAAGTGGCCCCAAGGGCCCGCAGCACGGTGCTGTTTCAAGACGTTCCACTTCCGTGCCCGAAGCATGGTGGCGGCTCCGAGGTGGCTGGTGCAGAAGATCTGCAGCGGCGCCCGCGATGAGGCTGACGGCAGGCTGCTTCGGCTGCCCTTCGTGTGGATGGCAGACGACCTGCTCGTGGCCTTCTGCAGAAACGAGCGGCCTTTGGGCGCCGCTGGCTATAGAGCCCCTGAGGTGCTTCTCAGACAGGGCTTCCGCGAGGCCTTCCTGGAGGTGCAGCGGCACCCGAGGATCTGCAGCGTGGCAGTCGCGGGATTTCTCAGGGACAGGGGTTTCTCGTTTCAGGTCAGGCAGGATTGGTTGATGGACCGGTCAATCGCGCTGCAGAAAGTGATGCTCCTGAATCTTGCCAAGCTCGCTGAGCTTGGTGTCGAGTTTTGCCCTCTGTTCAAGATGTCTGAAGACCTCGCCCTCTGTTTCGACGTGCTGCAGCGGCCAGGTGGGCACACGCTGAAGGCGCAGGGCTATCCAGGTGCCTGCGGCAACTGCCGCCATGCCAGCGCAGCGCTATTGTGCGGCGATCCCTGAGAAGCGTTCACACGACTGCAACATTTCAGCCATGAGGGCATCCGCCCACTTTCCCCTCTGCGTGCTTGTTGGAAGCCTTATAGAAGCCTTTCGGCTGGAGGCCATCTATCAAAGAACAGGGGGGGGGGCCCAGTTGGCCCCGCCCCGTCGGAGCCCCCAAGATCGCCCTCAGCCCGCTTGGGGCGCTCTTCTTGCCACTTCCTGGGCGCTCTTGCGGCCGTCCTGGGCCTCTGCTTGAGCCCCTCCCGGGGCCGTCCTGGGCGATCCTGGGGCACATCTCGAGGCCTCGGAAGGCTCCTCGGGAGCGAAACCGCGAGAAGGCAGAAGTCATTGAACACGATGCCCGTGAGGCCAGGGAGGCCACGGGAGGACCCAAAAGGCCACCGGAAGCCACGAGAGGCGACAGAGGCAACGGGAGACCACGGGAGGCAACGTGAGGCAACGTGAGGCCACGTCGCCCGCCCGATTCCAGATTTGGCAAAGCACCTATCAGATGTCTATCAGAACTACACACGGTAGATTCCTCACAGACGAGCCGCTTAGGGAAAGATTCGGGATTTTTGAATGATGTTTGCCTCTCGGGTCACGTGGTCTTGGGGGCTTATTGGAGGCACGTTGGAGGTCATGCTGAGCCATCTCGGGCTACATATTTAGCCATCTTTAGCGATGCTTATGAAGCTATCTCGGAGGGATCATCTTTGTCTATATGATCATCTATGAGGCCCTCTTGAAGCCATCTTGGGCCATCTCCGGCCCGCCCGTCCAGATCCAAGGCAGGGGTTGGGGGGAGGGGCAAACCCCTTCCCGCGGGGGAAGCAGGAGGATGCAATAAGAAACAATGCAAACCACCTGTGCCTGGGTGATGTGACTCAGGCCTCGGAGGGTCGCTCCAGTCCCAAGGAGACTCTGGCGCGTGACATTCTCTGCACAACTTGGCCGTCAGGGTTCTACACATACATGTATAATAACTGAGCTGATAATTGTTAGTGCGTAGTTTTGAAGAACCCAGGAGGTGCGACGCCGGATCTGGAATCGGTCGGTCGACGTTGTCTCCCCTTGTCTCCCGTTGTCTCCCCTTGTCTCCCGTTGCCGCCCGTTGTCTCCCACTGTCCGTGTCCCTCTCGCTCTCTCTCTCTCTCTCTCTCCCTGTCTTTATCCGTATCCCTATCCCATCCCACTTCTCGCTTGTCGTTTCCCATTGTCTCCCACTGTCTCCCATTGCCTCCCACTGTCCATTCCTATCCGTATTCCTACCCCTATCTCTATTTCTATCCCTTCGCTCTTATCCCTATCCATATCTTTGTTATCTCTGCTCTTACCCTATATCTCTATCTAGCATCCCTGTGCCGATCCGTATCCCCATCCCCCCTCTGATGCGTATGCCTATCCCTATATCCCTATCCCTAAATCCCTAGCTCTGCATCGCTGTTGCTCATCAGTATGCACCCCCTCCCCCAGGCGACCGGCAGCCAACCAGGAACCATGCTCCCCCCCCTCCATCCCTGTCAACAAAACAATACAAAACGCACTCTGCCTCCAAATTCGGAGCATGCGCAACCAACCGGATGCGCCCCCTCAACCATCCCTGTCGAAAAACAATACGAAATACATTTTTGGGCAAAGTCTGGAGAGTCATGTTCGTGAGGCCCGCGAGCACTTTGCATTGTCTTTTGACACGGACGGCGGGGGTGTCAGCATTTTGCCTGCTGTGCGCAGGGCTACCATCCCTGACAAAACACAATACACAATGTACCTCGCGGCTCAATCGGGATCATGCGCGGCCATCCGGCTATCTTGTCAAGTGGTTTTTGACAGGGACGGCGGGGGTGGTGGCGTATGGCCTGCTGTGCGCAGGCCCACCAGACACAGCGATGGGCATTGGTTTTCGACAAGGATGGCGGGGGCCGACATGTTTCCTGATGTGTGCTGTCATGTGCGCAGGCGCACCCGACACAGTCTGCACGTGCCCCGAACGTTGCGGTCCTGGCGCGGCTGGAGTATGTGGCTCACCTGGCGCACGCGGAGACACGTGGCGCATCTGGCGCACCAGGCGTGCCTGGCACGCTTGGGCCCCACGGGTGCGTGGCGAGCGTGGCGCGCCTGGCACGCGTGGCGCGCTTCGCCCCAGCGTCGCGCACATGGGTTCGGTTTTGGTTCCCGCTAGCTGTCCATCCAAAGGCGACCGCTGAACATGCTGAGGCTCGGGTGAATACATAGAGCGGGGGACCGGGTCCGGGGGCCGGGGGCCGGAGCCACGACCACAAATGTGGGGCCCGGCGCGCCGGGAGCCCTGCCGGAGCGCCGGGGGCCGTCCAAGATCGCCCGAAGATGGACGCCAAGAAGGCCCCCGAAGGCCCCGAAGACGCCCCAAGAGGCACCCCGAGAGATCCCCAATAAGCAAAAATAGTTGATTTCTTATAGGGGAACTGATATTTTTGGCGTGTTCGCTTTTTGGGCTTCCACTGCGTCCAAGGCGGCCCAAGAGGCACCCAAGCCGGTCGAGGATGCCCCCAAGAGGGCGCCAAGATGGCCCACGAGGGGGTCAAGACGGCTCAACGAGACGCCCAAACCGCCCAAGAACGCCCCAAGGCGGCGCCCAAGACGGGAACGAGGAACCGGAAATTCGAGCCTTTTGGCCCAAGAGACTCCCAGGAGACCCCAAGAGGCTCCAAGAAGCGCCCAAGAAGCCCCAAGAGGCCCCCATGAGACTTGAAAAAACTCCAAAAGAGGCCCCGAAGACGCCCCAAGAGGCACCCCAATGGAGCCCCAAACATGCAGAAACCGTCGATTTCCTGTAGGGAAACTGATATTTTTGGCGTGTTCGCCTTCGGGCTTCCATTGCGTCCAAGACGGCCCAAGAGGCACCCAAGACGGTCGAGGATGCCCCCAAGAGGGCTCCAAGACGGCCCACGAGGGGGGCAAGACGGCCCACGAGACGCCTAAACCGCCCAAGAACGCACCCCAGGAGCCCAAGAGGCCTTTCTGGGGAGCCTCCACAGCGTCCCAGGACGGCCCAAGACGCCTCCCAGGAGCCCCCAGAATGCGAAAGGATGGTCCAAGACGCTCCCAAGCGGCTCAAGTCAGCCTTCCGACGGCGCTCGAGGCTCCCAGGTGGCCTCCAAGAGACTCATAGAGAGGTCCGAGAGGCGTCCCAGGACGGCCCAAACAGGCCCAGATCGTAGATTTTCAGTGTTTTTTTCAATGCTTTTGGCTTCTCGCGTTTTCGAGCTTCCAATGGTCCAAGAGCGCCGAAGAGGTTCCTAAGACCGCCCCAAGACCACCCAAGAGACCCTCAGGACGGCCCCAAGACGAGCCAAGAAGGCTCCAAGACTGCCGAAGAGGCGCCCAGGACAGCCCCAGACCATTCCAGAACAGGCCCAAAATGGGCCCAAGAGCGGGAGCAGGAGGCTTCCAGAGACCTCCGAGAGGCCTCCGGGACCCCCCAGTGGCCCCCAACACAACCCCGATCCCTGAGATACCCCAAAAAGACCCCGACGAGGCTCCGAGAACAGCCCAAGAGAGCTGCGAGAGCCGTCCCGAGAGAGCCCAATGAGGGTAACATCGTTGATTTCCCGTATGGTTTTTCATTTTTTTTCGCCTTCGGACGTTTTTCTGTTTCCAACCCTCGAAGATCGAGGATCTTAGGGGAAGAAAGGGAATTCCCAGAATTCCTTATTTTTTTCAAAGTGGGTCTCCGACTCGGAGATCCCGCACATCCCCTGACATTTGGCGGGTACCGCGCCTCCTGGCTTCCGGGAGGGCCCCCAAGACGCCCAAGGACAGCCCAAGACGACCCGAAGGAGCCCCCAGAACGTAAAGAACGGCCCAGTACGCTGCCGCGCAGCCCGAGACACCCTTCCGACGGCTCTCCAGGCCTCCAGGAGGCCTCCGGACCCCCCCGGGGGTCCGGAAGATCCCACACCCTTGAGGGGCCCGGCTAACAAAACCCGCGAGTCACAAACAAGAAACAGCGCCGAACAGCGCCGAGGAACTAGAAAAACATTGAAATCCCACAATTCCTTTTTCTAAGTTTGGCCCCAGGTCTACTCTTGCACAAAAGAGCACAATTCAGACCCCCTCACCTCCCCCAAAAAACCCAGGAAGCCTTTGAGGGCCCCAAATCGTTGAATACCTAGAGGAAATTAATGATTTCTGCGTTTCCGCACTTCCCCTTCTATGCGATTCCGAGGCCTGCGCAGGGCCTCCAAGGGAGTCCCTGGACGCAAGAAGCGACCAACATGAGATTACACGAGTTGGCCGATCAAGCCTAGCTAGAATTTGAGCGCGCGCGAAGCGCGCATGTGTTGGGAGGGCGGATGGAAGTGAGCTATGTCGGGCCTGTCCCCCTACATGGGGATTTTCGACGAAAAATAAGAATACCCCCAAAATAATCCAAAAATAATGCAAAAACGCCTGGGGACTATTTTTCGATTTTTTTTTTTTAAAAAAAATATTTTTTATTTTTTTGGGGGGGGTATGTTTCATTTTTCGTTGAAAATCCCCCCGTAGGGGGACACGCCCGACTTAGAGTGAGCTAGACGGCTTCCTATCTGGAGGGTGTCTTGATCCCTGTCCGTACCCCTACCGCTGTCCCTGCCCCGATCCCCAGCGTGGCCCCCACCGTGGCCGCCCCTCGCGGCCCTTTCTCGTGTCCCTCGACCGCGGCCCCGCTCGTAGCTGTGTAGAGCTGTGTGCAGTGCCGTCTTTCATACATGCTCTGCGCGCGGATCATGTATTAATAAACATGCAGGGGTTTTAGTATTAACAACAACGATGAGTTCATGCATACATTTATTCATAGATCAATCATGTATAAAAAATAGTATACCTTTAAACATCCTATGTGTTAACACCTGCCCTGTAGGGTCTTCTGCCGCAAGGGTGTCATTTGTATTCCCCTTAGGTCTTCGATGATGGACACCCTGTTGAATGTAACCGTTCAGCCTTCGCGCCGAAGACCGCGGGGAACCGCCAAAGACCGCCCAAAACCGCTGAATACC